GGAGCAGCCCCAGAGGAGCTGAGCCAGCCCCTGGGGGCGGGGTGGCCTCTAGGGTGGGGAGGCGCTCGTGCCCGTGCGTATCAGAAAACATCTGTCTGTGGGATCCTGCTCTCTGAGGGCAGAGTGTGGAGCGAGGAGTCTGCTTTTAGGCTTCCCTTGGTGGGCGCTGCGGGTCTTTGTCTGAGCCCTGGGGTCGGGCGCAGTGGCCGCCCCGTGGCACCCGAGTCTCGTCTGGGGCTCGAGTCTGCTTCCTCGGAGCGCGTTTTCGGTTTCAGAAACAACAAAGGACTTTGAAAAGCTAGAGTCTGAGTTTCCTTCTTTGATATTGCAGAAATTAAACCGCCTCATTCCCCCACCTCATAGCCAGAAGAGAAACCCTTGCAGAGTGTAGACCGCTGGCCTCTCCCCCTGTGGTGGAAGGCCAGGCGGCCGCAGCTTGGGCTCTGTGGAGGAGACAGTTCTGGGGTCTGGCCCCACCCGCCGCCTCCCGGCAGGCTTAGTGCCCTCCACGTCTTAGTGTCTCGGGCAGCTCTCCCCTCAGTGGGGGTGCGGGGGGCAGGGGTGCGAGGCAGCTGGACAGAGGGGTCTTTGTGGCCGGCCGCTGGCCCCACGCAAAGCCATTAATTGGGTCGCTGGTCTGGGGGGGCAGCCGCACTCACCCTCTCCCCCTCCTGTCTCATTCCCTCTGTCTCCCCAGGGAAGTGGGTCACTGGCAGGGGAAAGACTTGAGAAGGGTCCCCCGGGAGCCGGGTTTGCTCCTCCTCCCATTTTCCACCTGGACCCCTGAGGCGTTGGGCCCTGAAGGGTGGACTGGGTTGGCGCTTCCAGAGGGGAGCTGGGAGCCTGGGGAGGGCTCAGTTCCACGCCCTCCTCCCCCCCGCCCATGGGCAGCTCAGCGCAGACCCCACGTAGCCGGGGGTGAGGGCCTCTGTCCCGCGCCCTGTTGAGCCAGCAAACCCCAACCTCCCGGGGGCAGGGCCAGAGCAGCCCAGCAGGGGGACGTGGCCCCAGTGCCACGGCCTGTGCCGTCCCAGACCCCGCACTCGCCCTCAGCCCCTTCCGTGGGACGCTCAGGCCGGGAGGTGGTTTCTGAAGGGGGTCAGGAGTGGGGGAAGCTCACCGCTGGGTGGGGCTGCAGGTCTGGGGGCCTGAGTGTCTCCTGCCCCCACAGAGCTCCGAAGCAACTGCTCCCAGCTGGGCTGCCAGCACCACTGTGTCCCCACTCTCGGTGGGCCCGCCTGCTACTGCAACCACAGCTTCCAGCTGCAGGCAGACGGCAAGACCTGCAAAGGTATGTGAGCGCGTGTGCCGGGCGTGTGCGCGTCAGGCTGGGCGCCTGGGCCAGCAGAAAGCCGGAGGCGGGAGAGGGGCCCAGCACAGGCCGTGCCTGGGGCCCTGAGCCCTCGCTCCCACCTGCCGGAAAACTGGATCTGACAGGGACCTGCCTTCTGTGAGCCTCTAAAGAAACGAAAGCACCATGCGTCAGCCCAGGCCCCGCTCCCAGGGCGCTGCCCGGGCCGCCCGTTCCCCACCGCCCGCACCGCCCTCGGGGGAGTGGCCGCTGAGGCGAGCGCGTGCTCCTTTTGACATAAATGACATACTGTGCATACCTTTTCCCACTGTTCCCACTCAGTATGTTCTAGAGATTTTTCCGTGTAAGTGGAGAGTCTCCCGTGGTCTTTCAAGAGCCGTGGCGATGCGTGACTGGCAGCTTCAGCGGCCTTCTCCCTGCAGACGGGTGACGGTCCCGGCTCGGAGCTCTGCTGCAAACAGTGTTTCAGTTCGACCCTGCTGGGTCTCGCACAAGCCCCACCTCCTCAGGGGCCCTCCCGCCCGGCCCACTCTCCTTCCAGCCTCTGTCCCCTTCCTCTGCGGACGTTCCCCGGTCATTTTCACCGCGCTAGCACCTCTGAAATATCACTTACCTTTTGTTCCGTCACTGGGATGACGAGACCTCGTTATGAACAGTCTCCTTGGCACAGGGCAGCAGTTGGAGTCAGCGGTGCTCGCTCACGAGCGCCCAGGGCGGTGTGGCGCGGGGGGCTCGGACCCTGACATGTCTGTGTGCACAGATGACATCGCCGGCAGCGATGCCCTTCCTGGGCAGCGTCCAGTCTGGCCTCGCTGGATGCCGAGGGCCACCTGCACCTGCCTTCCTTTTTATTTGAATACGTGTCATTGTGCCTGTTAGTCCGCATCACTGTTGCACATTTATTCTTTTTTTATGTTTTTTTAAAATAATGTAATAGTTTATTTTTACATCGTTTTGTGCATTTTTCTATCATAGGTGTCTCATCCCCGTGGGCTTCCCATCACCAGATCACCCATGTGCCTTCAGCATAGTCCAGTGCACTTCCCTCCCCCCACTGTTTTTGATCCCACTCCGCCCCCATAAAATGTCTCTGGTCTATAGCTGTTCATTATTATTATTATTTTCTTGCCTGGCCTGTTATACTGCTATGAGTGAAACCATTTAGTGTTTTTCCTTTTCTTTCTGGCTTATCTCACTAAGCATGATCCCTTCCAGCTCCATCCATGTTGCTGCAAAAGGCATGTGTGTCTTTTTTTTTGGTTGCTGAGTAATATTCCATTGTGTATATGCACCACATCTTTTAAAACCAGTCATCTACTTTTTGGGCATTTGGACTGTTTCCATGTCTTCCCAATTGTAAAGCAGCAATAAACATGGGGGTGCAGGTATCTTTTGGGTGGATACCTAGGAGTGGGATTGCTGGGTCCTATGGAAGCTCCATGTTTAGCAATTTGAGGAGCTTCCACACAGTTTTCCATAGTGGTTGTACCAGTTTGTGTTCCCAGCAGCATGCACATTTACTCTGGGTCTAGATTTTGTTCAACTGCCCTCTGAAGTCGCAGTAGGGCAGCTGTGTCACAGCTATATCTGAAGGAAGCCGCTTCCCTGCCCCGGCAGCCGAGATGACCTTGCTCTTGTCCTCCCGCAGACTTTGACGAGTGCTCGGTCTACGGCACCTGCAGCCAGCTCTGCACCAACACCGATGGCGCCTTCACGTGTGGCTGTGTGGAAGGCTACTTGCTGCAGCCAGACAACCGCTCCTGCAAGGCCAAGAACGGTGGGTGGGGTCACCGGCAGCCACCGGCGCCACGACGGGAGCCGTCCAGGCGGCCCCCCGCCCCGGCCCCGCTGACCCACCTCCCTTCCGTCCGCAGAGCCCGTCGACCGCCCCCCTGTGCTGCTCATCGCAAACTCCCAGAACATCCTGGCCACGTACCTGAGTGGGGCCCAGCTGTCCACCGTCACGCCCACCAGCACGCGGCAGACCACTGCCATGGACTTCAGCTACGCCAACGAGACCGTGTGCTGGGTGCACGTCGGGGACAGCGCGGCCCAGACGCAGCTCAAGTGCGCCCGCATGCCGGGCCTGAAGGGCTTCGTGGACGAGCACACCGTCAACATCTCCCTCAGCCTGCACCGTGAGTCACCTGCTCTGCTTGGGGCCGGGGGCAACGGGCAGGATGCGGAGTCCCAGACATGATGCGTCTGCCCGGGCAGGAGTCTAAGCAAGCAGGCCTGGCTGAGGCCGGGGCAGGGGTGGGCACAGGATGGCGGGGTGGGGGCAAAGGCACGCAGGCCTCCTTCCCTGCTCCCCGAGCTGGGCCTCCCGCGGCCTCACAGCACAGCGCTGAGCTCGGCTTTCCCCGAGCACGGAGGGGCAGCAGGCGGCCAGTCTCTAGAGACCAGGTACTGCCCCTTCTCAGAGGGGTGATGGCTGGACCGCAGAGGGGCTTTCCCTTGTAGCGGGAGCCAGAGCAGGAGATAAAGGGAGCCGGTGGGGCCCGCTGGGACCCGCGGGGGCCTGGCTGAAGCACTGCGGAGGAGCCAGGGCCTGGCCCGCTGTCGCCGTTTCCCAAGCGCGGGGTCATGTGAGCCGTGGAAGCCGCCCGCTGTTCCCTCTGGGCTCCCTCCCTCGGCTGTGCTCTGCCCTCTCGGAGGTGGAAGGCGGGTGCCTGGGGCTGGGCCAGGGCGCAGGCCAGTGGCTGAGCAGCGCATCTCAGATGCTGTTACATAAAACAAAGCAAACCTCTGGCAGCTTCCCATTTCCAGGAAAGGCACAGGGGCTGGGGGGGATCTGGCCTTCCGTGGATCTGACCCTGGGGAGAGTAACTCGATCTGTGCCCTTGAGTAAACCAGAATTCCTTGTTTTTACTCTGGTTTCTTAATCTGCGTAATGGGCTTGAGTTTGCCTGTCACATCAGATAAACTGGAGGCAGCGTCAGACGCACATAGAGGCTCGTGGGCAGACCAGGCCTATTTGCAAGCTCTCCAGGCCTTCCCTGGGCTCCAGGTGATGGTCCCCACAGACGGCAGGGGTCCCGGGAGCACGCAGGGCTCAGTTTTCGGGGTGCAGGGGCTCCCTGAGAGCCTCCTCATGAGGGCCACAGCTGAGACTTGGGGACCAAGGCTCTCCTGTGGTCAGACCTGTGTCTTTCTTGGAGCGCCGGCCTGGGGGGGCTGCCAGTCCTGGCTGGCCCAGCTCTCGAGGGGCGAACAGCCCAGGGAACCTGATGGTACAGAAGGCGGGTCGGGGTTGGGGCAAGGCTGGTGAGACCGCTGCCCTCCCCCTGCCCTGGCAAACTGCTCTGGCAGTTCCGTCCCTGGCCCTGCCTCGACCACGGGCTGCCTTGATGGGGACCTTCTCGGTTTTGCCCCGGCCTGGCCTCCTCTTGCCTTCTCCCCCTGGAGAAGCAGGAAATAACCTCAGGCGGGTGCCCCTCCCTTAGCAAACAGCTCGCCTCCGGCCTGCTGGGGCTTCGGGCCGGGGCAGAGTCCAGCAGGCAGGGCCAGATCAAGGTTATAGGGGATGCCAGTGGGATGAGTGTGGGGCTCCTGTCCCCCGCCTCTGTCCCTTCCGTCTCGCCCTGCCTCCACTGCCCCCCACGCCGCCGGGATGTCTGGCTGTCACCCTGAAGATGGTTGTTTTGCTTCATCCCACAAACTAATTATGGGTCCCGAGCTGAGCATGTCGGCAGCTTCTCTCCAGCAGCTGCCCCTTCCCAGGAACGGCCGGCCGGACTGCCCTGGTGTGTGGGGTGTCTGGCCTGGTCCCGGGGCTCACCTGTGTCGTGGGCTGCTGGCCTCTAATTAGCTCCCCAAGGGGGACGGAGAAGGGAGCTCGCTGCTTTCTCCTGCTTTCTCTCAGAGCTGGGGGTAGCCCTCCCTGCAGTCAGCTCATTCCTGTCTGTGACCGTGGGGGGGGGAACAGACCCCCAAGGGAAGGTGAAGTCTGACAATTAGGGGCAGAGAAGCTCAGAGGCCAGGCAGAAAGGCTGAAAGATGCCTCTTTCCCCGTGGCCCTCCCCAGAGAAGGAGGGGCCAGGAGGAGGCCTGAGCCAGGCAGCAGCTCCCATTCCCAGAACGGGCAGCCCTCGTGTGTGGGGTGTCTGGCCCCAGGGTTCACCTGTGTCACGCCTGTAATTAGCTCCCCAAGGGGGATGGAGAAAGGAGCCCGGAATGTGTGTGAAGCAGACCTGCTCGCGAGGGTCAGGCTGAGGTGCTCCGGCTCCAAGCGCCCACTTGCGGGCGGGGCAGGCCCAGGCCCACACCCTCTGCCCCCTGCTGTGTTCTCTTGCCTGCTGGCCCTGGGCGGCTCTGACTCACCTCCCCCAGCCTGGCCTGGGGCCTCGGGGGCTCCGTCCTCTTCCCCTGCTCTTGGGGTGTCCTCCTGGGCCTCCGCTCTGCCTCTGTCCAGCAGGATGGGGCGTCTCCAGGTGACGCTAAAGGGGTCGGAAGACCCTTGGCGAGCCCGAGGCCACCCCTCGGTTCTATCACAGCCTTTCCCAGAGAGGGGCGCCTGGGGCTGTGCGGTTTTTATTGCCGGTTTCTATTTGACCCCCATGACAACACTTCTCGAACTTGCACATCTAATCTGTCGGTTTCATGGACTATTTAGGGTGCAGCGAAAGTGGCTTGATTTGAAGAAACAGTAAGTAACCACGCGGGCTGTACCCAGAGGGATGTTTGAGAGGGACGCCCCAAAGACTCCAGTTCTGGAGCCGAGACCAGGTGGGGTGCGCTGGCCCAGGTCGCCGCGCCTTGGAGGGCCGCAGGGCCGGCTCCTCTGGCCGTCCTCGGGCCTGGGAGGGGGGGTCGGAGCCTGCGAACCTGGGCCTCGGGAAGCAGGCTTGCGGGGTCCCCTTCAGACTGTGCGAGGGGTGCTGAGAGGGGCCCTCGGATGGGCTTGGATCCTCGGTTTCTTTCCTGCACCACGCTGCTTGGGGGAGAGGCGGGGAAGGCCGCCCAGGCTGCAGGCAGCAAGGTTGCGAAATGGGTCCCCAAGTCCAGCTGGCCGGCTTCACTTTCCCCACCGCGTGTGCGCCTGTGTTTCAAATCACAACAGGAAATGGGGCGGTGATGTGTCTGGAAGGGAGGCAGAGACGGGCAGGGGCTGCCCCTCTGAGTCTGGGGCACACCGGCTTCCCAGCTTCAGCAGGAGAGGCTCCCCTGAACCGGACACCCCCCACCCCGCGTCTGTGGAATGCTTTCAGGCCGTCTGTGAGAGCCAGTCACCCTTTTCTCGGCTATTCTCGCCCACAGGGTGTCAGAAGACTGGGGTCCCTACCGCCCCACTCTGACCCTGCGCCCCTCCCCCACGTTTTTGCTGTCGGGGTCCGAGTTCCCCAACTTGCGCCTCGGCCTTCCTCCCTGCTCCCCGGGGCTGGGCTCCAGCCCTGTCCTGTCCTCCCCCGCTCGTCCTGGAAGTTGCTCTCCACCCAGGCTGCTCCCGGCAACCCCGCCCCCCTGCCTCTTTCCAAGCCAAAGGAAGTAACTTAAGCAGGAGGGGTGTGCTTCAGGCCCCGCAGGATTTCTCAATAATGGGAGGACCCGGTGCTGGTTCCGAATCAGCTGCGATGGGCGACTCATCCCCGGTTCCCGGACCAAGGGCCTTGGTGGGCCGGGGTCAGGCGGGGAAGGGAGCAGACAGGAGGGGCCCCGGGACAGGCGTGTCGCCATGTGCTCGCCCCAGACCTCTGAGGAGCAAGAGAAGCTGAGGTGGGCAGGAAGCAGGCCTGGGGGGACCGCGGGAGAAGCTTCTCCCAGACCTGGGGCGGCCTCCCCGCCCCGGGCCTGGGCCGCCTCCCCGGCCTGCTCTCCCGAGCCTGCCCGCAGGACCCCCAGGGCGCTGTGAGGGACCAGAGCGGTCTGTGAGCAGGACAGCGAGCGCCCGGGTGTGGCAGGGCGGGTGTGGCAAGGCGAGGGACTGAGTCTGCAATGAGCTGTGAAGTCAGTCAGTGGGTGTCAGGCGCTGGGGACAAAGGTGGCAGCCAGGCCCTGCCCTGGAGCCAGGTACACCAGCTGTGATTAAAGGGGGGGGGCAGAAGCCTCCCTCTGGGGGTCTGCGCTGAGCCCAGGAACAGTAGGTAGGAGCCCCAGAGGGCCCGCCCCCGCCCGTGGCCGGGGCCAGCTGCAGGCTCACGTGCGGCCTGGTGACAGATGGCCTGCCGGCGGGGGTCAGGGAGGCCAGGCCGGTGGTGAGCGTACGGTGGAGAGTGTCCCTGGGCGCTGCCCGGACCTGCCACCCCATTTTACAGATGCGCACACAGACGCCGCAGCGCGGGCCCCACAGTCAGCAGGTGGCAGAACCAGGACTCCTGCCGGTTCGAAGCCGTCAGTGTTGAGCCAGGCCGGGCCTGGTGGAGCAGCGTGATGGGGGGGTGGGCCCCCCTTCCTCGGCCAGGGGCCCCGCACGCTCCTCTGGCCTTTGGGTGTGTGGCTGTGTTGGGGGACATTCCCTCAGGGCGTCGGGGCCCCCTTTCCTCCCCAGCTTTATTTTGGAGAATGATGAATCCCCCAGCGAAAGCTGGGTCTTCTAGGAATGGGCGAAGGCTGTTTCGTAAAGGCAGCCTCCCTGGAGAAAACGCCTCTTGAACAATGTGAACGATGGCAAGTTGAGAAAAACCGGAGTTGTGGGGAGCTGAGAGTGCTGAGCTTGGGGGCGGGGTACAGGGAGCCTCAGCAGCACACACACCCCAAGTCTATTCTGGGGCCTGGAACTGAAAGTCCTTTGCGACATCACAGGCATGCTGCGGTCTGCCCTCGGCCTCCTCTCCCCCAGCTGACTCCCTGGCCGCTTCCCTGTGCCCTCCCTCTGCAGCCTCACACCACAGACCCCACACGGCGGGGTACCCTCCCCCTGGCTTATCGGAGACTCCTGTCCTCAGAATTTGGGGCCTTGGGCCAGAGCCCTCCTGGAGGGTGTGACGGGGAAGGCCAGCCCCAGGAGCCGGCCACGAGGGTTCGGCCCCTCTGGCCACGTGGAGCCCGAAGGCCTTCTGGACCAAGCCCGGGACACCGCTTGTCCCCCGCCCCCCCAACTCCTCTAACAGAGGGGGGGACCTGAGCCCAGGAGGGAGGCCCCAGCTGAGCCCACTCTCTGCCCTGGCCTGGCGTGCTGGGGCGGCCACATGGAAGTGTGAGTGTGTGTGGCGGGGCGGGCAGAAGAATCTGGACTTCAGGAGAGAGGAAAATAATGTTGGGGGGGGGGTGGAATAACAAAGGATTTTTGCTTGCAAGTAATCGTCTCCAGCTGCAAAAATACCAAAGGGGAGGCCGTGGCGGGGGCGGGGTGGGGGTGGGCTCCAGCTCTGGCCAGCCAGCTCCTCACCGGCCTGCTGAGCGGGGCCTGGCCTGGCCTGGGAGCACAGGGGCAGCCGGCCAAGGCTCAATGCTGAGCGGGGGGACGTCCCGCCCCCCCCCCCCCCGGCTCCGGGAGGCGCCGGCCAGCGAGCCGCAGGTTGACCACGTCTGAGACGGGGTGACTGTGGAGTGCGCCCGAGAGGGGGCATCAGAGCGCCCAGGCTCCCTGCTCTGCCGTGGGCTCAGGGAGGGGGCGGGGGCAGGGTGTCGCCGGTGGAGCTGGGCAGTGACTCAGGGATCCTCAGGAAATGGCGAGGGCCAACTGGTGCTGGAGAACAGCTTCGAGTCGAGGCGCATCGACACCCGCGGCCCCGGCCCCCACCTCCGGGTAGCGGGCCACCGCCCTGCGGCCGCGCCACCCACCGGCTCCCGGAGGGGTGGGTGTCCGCGGCTGCTGCCCTGTGCCGCGTCTGGCCGTCGACGGGCATCCGCCTGCCCGGGGCCCTTGTCCTGTGCGGCCGCGGGACACGGCTCTCGCCACCACGTCGTCGGGGTGGGTGTGCCGTGCCCGTCGGGCGGCACTTCCGGGCACCTCATCCCGGGACCTCTCCCCTGTCGTCTCGGTGGGACTTGACGGGGACCTGGAGACGTCAGTGGGGTGAAAGCCTCCAACTGGCTCCGTCCCCCCTTCCTCAGCCCCAGTCCTGTGACTGTGAGTCAGTGTCAGGGCCCAGCCAAGTTCCTCCGCAGCCACGTTCCTGTTCCCCGGCCCCCGGCCCGCCCGGCCTTTAGGAAAGAGCCTGGAACCCTGCGGGAGGCGAGGCCAGGGAGGGCCGGAGGCCGGCCATTGCGCCTGGCGTTGTGTGGGGGCCGGACAGCCCCCCAGCTGAGCCTGGGTAGTGGGGGTAAGATCCGGCCGAAGACGGGCTCCCCCAAGGCTCTACCTGCAGGGAAGTTGGTGGAGGTGACGTGCAAGGCCTGGAGCCCAGAGAGTCGTGGTTGTGGGAGTTTCTCAGTCCACAAGAGGCGTCTGCGGTGGCTGGAGCGGGAAGGGGCTGCGTGGGTGCCGCTGGGTCCCGGAGAGGGCCCCGAGGCCAGCAGGGGTCCTGCGCCCGGCTCCTGCATCCTGCAGTCCTGGGCCGCAGACCGTGGGCGCCTGGTCTCCCCTGCTCCTTCATGAGCCGTGCCTCAGTTTACCGCCACAGTGCTCCACGAACTCTCTCCGCCGGCCCCGTATCTCGTCCCACCCTCCCTAGGGCATGAGGAAACTGGGCAACAGGGACCCTGCAGAAACGGGGGCTGGGGGGCGAAGAGAGGAGCTCTGGCCCGCGTCACTGGAGCCGCCTCCGCTTCCACGACCTTCCCTTTCCCTCCCTACGGCCGCCATATCCGGAAATTATTTCCCCTCCGAGTGGGCCCGTGTGCGGCGCCTGCAGCGCAGCTCCCGTCAGCCCTTGCGGCTGACACGCGGCAGCTCATCTGCAGGGCGGATGCAAGCTCAGCCCAAAGCGCAGGATTGCGGCCTTTGGGCCGGCTCAGCTCCCCTTGCCAGCGAACGCGGGGGCGTCAGCCGGCTGCCTGCCCTCGCCGGCCCTCGGCACCCGAAGGCGTCAGAGAGGGACTGGAGGTGGGGGGCCAGCCGGCCGCCCAGCTCCCGCTCCCCCACCCCGC